CCGATGGTAGTCCCAGCAACTCCTCATCTGGGTCTGTCTCCTCCAGGGTTAGGGTGCGGCAGAACGTAGATTCAGCTCCTGGACGCCACAGCAAGGCAGAGGCGTCCATCTCCTCTGCTGGCTCCCATACAACTGAGTTGCAGGGCCCTCCCTTTATACTTTCTGCCCTGCCCCAGTACTTCTGGCGAGGAGGGCGGGGCGGGTTCGGCTCCACCCACCAAGGGGAGTGTAGTGGTCCCTCACGCTCTAGTCTGGAGGGAGGCCACTCTGCCTCACTACACCTATAAAAAGTGAAACATGGACAAAGTGCTAAAATTGAGTACAAAAGAATTGCACAAGCAAGTAGGAACAAAATCAGAAAGGCTGAGACAGAAAATGAGTTATAACTACAAAGGGATATAAAAGGCACTATGAAGAGATTCTTTAAATACATTAGGAGCAAAAGAAAGACAAAGGAACATGTAAGAGCTAACAACAGACAACACCAAGAAGGCTGAAGTGTTTAATAGCTATTTTGCTTCAGGTTTCAGAGTGGTAGCCGTGTTAGTCTGTATCAGCAAAAACAACGAGGAATCCTTGTGGCACCTTAGAGACTAAGCTTATGCCCAAATAAATTTGTTAGACTCTAAGGTGCCACAAGGACACCCTGTAATTTTGCTGTAGTCTTCTCTAAAAAAGTTAATTGTGACCTGGTGCTTAACACAATTAATGTTAACAACAAGGGGAAAAGAACATAAGCCAGAATAGGGAAATAATAGGTTAAAGAATATTTAGCTGTATTCTACTTAGCAATACTTGATTAAATTCATCCTAGGATACTAAAGGAACGAGCTGAAGCAATCGTGGAACCATTTGTGATTATCTTCAAGAACTCATGGAGGATGGGTGTGATCCCAGAGGACTGGAGACCGGCAAACATAGTACTTACCTTTAAAAAGGGGAACAAAGAGGACCCCTGGAAATATAGATTAGTCAGCCTAATTTTAATACCTAGAAAGATACTGGAGCAAATTATTAAACAATCAGTTTGCAAGCATCTAGAGGATAATAGTGTGATAAATAATAGTCATCATGGATTTATGAAGAAATTATGCCAAACCAACCTAATTTACTTCTTTGACAGAGTTACCAGCCTAGTGGATAGTGGATAAATCAGTAGACATGATTTATCTTGATTTTAGTGAAGCTTTTGACATTGTCCTACATACGGTCTTATAAATTAATGAGGGAAAAGAGGTCTAGATGAAATTACTGTAAGGTAAGCACACAATTGGTTGAGAAAATATACTTAAAGAATAGTTGTCAATGGTTTGCTGTCAAACTGGGAGAGCATATTATAAAATTTTCAGATGACACCAATCTAGGATGGATTGCAAGCCCTTTGGAGGACAGGATTAGCATTCAAAACAATGCTGACAAATTGGAGAATTGTTCTGAAATCAACAGGATGAAATTTAATAAAGACAAGTGTGAAGTCCTTCACTTAGGAAGGAAAAGACAAATGCACAACCACAAAATGGGGAATAAGTAGTACTATTGAAAAAGGTCTGCAGGTTACAGTAGATCACAAATTGAGTATGAGCCAACTTAATGCAGTTGTGAAAACGGATAAGATCATTCTGGGGATCTAAGAATGTGCCACCTAAGACACGAGAGGTAATTGACTTGCTCTATTTGGCACTGGTGAGACCTCAGCTGGAGTACTGTGTCCAATTCTGGGCTCCATACATCAGGAAAGATGTGAATAAATTGGAGAGAGTCCTGAGGAGAGTTACAAAAATGATAAAAGGTTTAGAAAACCTGATCTATGTGAAAGGTTAAAAAATGTGGCTTATTTAGATTTCAGAACAGAAGACTGAGAAAGGATCTGATAGCTTTCAGGTATGATGATAAGGGATGTAATAAAGAGGATGGTGATGGATTGTTCTCCATGTCCACTAGAGGTAGGACAAGAAGTAATCAGCTCAATCTGCAGCAAGGGAGATTTAGGTTGGATATTTGGAAATACTTTCAAACTAGGTGGCTATTTAAGTACTGGAATAGGCTTCCAGAGGAGGCTGTGGAATCCCCATCATTGGAGGATTTAAGAACAGGTTAGACAAACACCTGTCAGGGATGGTTTGGTCTTAAGTATATTTGGTCTTGCCTCAGCACAAGGAGATGAACTAGATAACCTCCTGAGGTCCCTTTCAAACCTACATTTCTATGATTCTACATTTGTTGGTAAGCATTCTGTGTATCCAAATGCTGGTGGGCTGCAGGAAAAATCAATTGCTGGCATTCCACAAAGGTTCACTCCACATGGAAAGTGTGACCATTTTTTGCCTCAAAGGCCTGAAGGATGCTTGTTTTTAAAGTAATTTTATCTTCCCCCTTCCCTTTAGGTCTGGCCTGCACACATCTTTTGTACATGAACAACTTTTTTAGTTAGGAGTGTAATTTTTTTCAACCAAAATAGTTATCCCAGTACCACTCTTAGTGTGGATGCAGTTATATGGCATAAAGGTGACATACAAGTATAGCTTATTCCCCTTTCCACGGGGAAATAAGCTATACCAGCATAAGAGTGTGTCTACACTACGAAATTAGGTCGAATTTATAGAAGTCAGTTTTGTAGAAAGCGTTTTTATACAGTCGATTGTGTGTGTCCCCACACAAATGCTCTAAGTGCATTTAGTCGGCAGAGTGCGTCCACAGTATCAAGGCAACCGTAGCTATCCCACAGTTCCCACAGTCTCCGCCGCCCATTTGAATTCTGGGTAGAAATCCCAATGCCTGATGGGGCAAAAACATTTTTGCGGGTGGTTCTGGGTACATATCGTCAGGCTCCCCCTTCCCTCCCTCCCTCCATGAAAGCAACGGCAGACAATCATTTCGCGCCTTTTTTCCTGGGTTACCCATGCAGATGCCATACCACGGCAAGCATGGAGCCCGCTCAGCTCACCATCACTGTATGTCTCCTGGATGCTGGCAGATGCAGTACTGCATTGCTACACAGCAGCAGCTCATTGCCTTTTGGCAGCAGACGGTGCAGTATGACTGGTAGCCATCGTTGCCCATACTCCTGGGTCCTCTTTTAGCCGACCTTGGTGAGGTCGGTCAGGGGCTCCTGGGCAGACATGGGAGTGACTCAGCTAGGTCATTTCCCTTTTAAGTTTCATCTCATGGCGATTCAGTCCTGCCGGCATTCGTACTGCACCGTCTTCTGCCGAGCACCCAGGAGATAACGATGGCTAGTCATACTGCACTGTCTGCTGCCAGCAAGATGTATAAAATTAGATGAAGTGGCTCAAAACAAGAAATAGACCAGATTCATTTTCTCCACCCTCCCTCCGTGAAATCAACAGCCTGCTAAACCCAGGGTTTTGAGTTCTATCCTTGAGGGGGCCATTCTGTTTCTCCTTGATGCAAAGCCACCCCCTGTATTGATTTTAATTCCCTGTAAGCCAACCCTGTAAGCCATGTTGTCAGTCGCCCCTCCCTCCTTCAGAGCAACGGCAGACAATTGTTTAGCGCCTTTTTTCAGTGCAGATGCCACAGCACTGGGAACATGGAACCCGCTCAGATCACTGAAGAAATTATGAGCACTATAAACACCACGTGCATTATCCAGCAGGATATGCAGAACCATAACCTGCAAGAAAAGCGAAACCAGGCGAGGAGAAGGCGACTGCAGTGCGGTGATGAGAGTGATGAGGACATGGATATAGACTTCTCACAAAGTACGGGCCCCTGCAGTGTGCACATTATGGTGTCAGTTGGGCAGGTTCATGGCGTGGAACACCGATTCTGGACCCGGGAAACAACCACAGACTGGTGGGACCGCATAGTGTTGCAGATCTGGGACGATTCCCAGTGGTTGCGAAACTTTCGCATGCGTAAGGGCACTTTCATGGAACTTTGTGACTTGCTTTCCCCTGCCCTGAAGCGCAAGAAATACCAAGATGAGAGCAGCCCTCACAGTTGAGATGCGAGTGGCGATAGCCCTGTGGAAGCTTGCAATGCCAGACAGCTACCAGTCAGTCGGGAATCAATTTGGAGTGGGCAAATCTACTGTGAGGGCTGCTGTGATGCAAGTAGCCAACGCAATCAAAGATCTGCTGCTATCAAGGGTAGTGACCCTGGGAAATGTGCAGGTCATAGTGGATGGCTTTGCTGCAATGGGATTCCCTAACTGTGGTGGGGCCATAGACGGAACATATATCCCTATCTTGGCACCGGAGCACCAAGGTAGCGAGTACATAAACCGAAAGGGGTACTTTTCAGTGGTGCTGCAAGCACTGGTGGATCACAAGGGATGTTTCACCAACATCAATGTGGGATGGCTGGGAAAGGTACATGACGCTCGCATCTTCAGGAACTCTGGTCTGTTTCAACAGCTGCAGCAAGGGACTTACTTTCCAGACCAGAAAATAACGGTTGGGGATGTTGAAATGCCAATAGTTATCCTTGGGGACTCAGCCTACCCCTTAATGCCCTGGCTCCTGAAGCCATACACAGGCAGCCTGGACAGTAGTCAGGAGCTGTTCAACTATAGGCTGAGCAAGTGCAGAATGGTGGTAGAATGTGCATTTGGGCATTTAAAAGCGCACTGGCACAGTTTACTGAGTCGTTTAGACCTCAGCGAAACCAATATTCCCATTGTTATTACTGCTTGCTGTGCGCTCCACAATACCTGTGAGAGTAAGGGGGAGACGTTTATGGTGGGGTGGGAGGTTGAGGCAAATCACCTGGCCACTGATTACGCGCAGCCAGACACCAGGGCGGTTAGAAGAGTACAAGAGGGCACAGTGCGCATCAGAGAAGCTTTGAAAACCAGTTTCAGGAATGGCCAGGCTACGGTGTGAAAGTTCTGTTTGTTTCTCCTTGATGGAACCCCCCCCCCCCCCGGGTTCCATCTACTTTCCTGTAAGCTAAGCACCCTCCCCTCCCCACTTCGATCACCGCTTGAAGAGGCAATAAAGTCATTGTTGCTTCACATTCATGCATTCTTTATTTATTCATCACACAAATAGGGGGATAACTGCCAAGGTAGCCCGGGAGGGGTGGTGGAGGAAGGAAGCACCGGGTGAGGGATGGAGGAGGGAAGGACAAGGCCACACAGCACTTTAAAACTTTAAAACTTATTGAATGCCAGCCTTCTGTTGCTTGGGCAATCCTCTGGGGTGGAGTGGCTAGGTGGCCAGCGGCCCCCCCCACCACATTCTTGGGTGTCTGGGTGAGGAGGCTATGGGAACTTGGGGAGGAGGATGGTTGGTTACACAGGGACTGTAGTGGCGGTCTGTGGTCCTGCTGCCTTTCCTGCAGCTCAACCATATGCTGGAGCATATGAGTTTGATCCTCCAGCAGCCTGAGCATTGACTCCTGCCTTCTTTCAGCAAGCTGATGCCACCTACCATCTTCAGCCCGCCACCTCTCCTCATGGTCATATTGTGTTTTCCTGCACTCTGAGATTGTCTGCCTCCACGTATTTTGCTGTGCTCTGTCAGTGTGGGAGGACAGCATGAGGTCAGAGAACATTTCATCGCGAGTGCGTTTTTTTTGCCTTCTAATCTTCGCTAGCCTCTGGGAAGGAGAAACGTATGCAGGTGGAGGAAAAAAAAAGGGAGAGTGGTAGTTAAAAAGACACATTTTATAGAACAATGGGTACACTCTTTCACGGTAAACCTTGCTGTTAACATTACATAGCACATGTGCTTTCATTACAAGATTGCATTTTGCCTCTTATTGCGGGTATGCCAGTTTGGTGTGAGAGATCACTCACACATGGCTGGGCAACAGAATTTGGCTTGCAGGCAGCCATGGTAAGCCACAGTCTTTTGGCTTCTTTAACCTTCATAACATGTGGGAATGGTTTCAAACAGCAGTGTCCTCATTTCCCATACGAAGTAGCCATGGGGTTGGCCATTTAAAATGGGTTGGCAATGTAAGAGGAGGGGCTGCTATTTCCCGGTTAACGTGCATCAGAAACCCAACCAACCACTCTGCCCCCCCACACACACCCAATTCTCTGGGATGATGGCTTCACCCCTCCCCCCACCACGTGGCTAACAGTGGGGAAGATTTCTGTTCAGCCACAGGCAAACAGCCCAGCAGGAACAGGCACCTCTGAATGTCCGCTTACTAAAATCACCCTATTTCAACCAGGTATCCATGAATGATATCACTCTCCTGAGGCTAACACAGACAGATAAAGAACGGATGTTGTTTGAATGCCGGCAAACACCGGGACCATGTTCTGCAATGATTCCCGACGATGTGCTACTGGTAAAGTGTCCTACCATGGAGGACAGAATAAGGCTGCCCTCCCCAGAAACCTTTTGCAAAGGCTTTGGGAGTACATCCAGGAGAGCTTTATGGAGATGTCCCTGGAGGATTTCCGCTCCATCCCCAGACATGTTAACAGACTTTTCCAATAGCTGTACTGGCCGCAAATGCCAGGACAAATTAATCATTAAACACGCTTGCTTTTAAACCATATATAATATTTACAAAGGTACACTCACCAGAGGTCCCTTCTTCGCCTTCAGGGTCTGGGAGCCTGCCTTGGGTGGGTTTGGGGGGTACTGGCTCCAGGTCCAGGGTGATAAACAGATCCTGGCTGTTGGGGAAACCAGTTTCTCCACTTCCTTGCTGTGAGCTATCTACAACCTCCTCCTCATCATCATCTTCCTCACCCCCAAAACCCACTTCCGTGTTGCCTCCCACTCCTTGGACGGAGTCAAAGCACAGGGTTCGGGTAGTGGTGGCTGCACCCCCTAGAATGGCATGCAGCTCATCATAGAAGTGGCATGTCTGGGGCTCTGAACTGGAGTGGCCATTTCCCTCTCTGTTTTTTTGGTAGGCTTGCCTGAGCTCCTTAATTTTCAAGTGGCACTGCTGCAGGTCCCTGTTATAGTCTCTGTCCTTCATGCCATTGGAGATTTTTTCAAATATTTTGGCATTTTGTCTTTTCGAACGGAGTTCTGCCAGCACAGATTTGTCTCCCCATACAGCTATCAGATCCCGTACCTCCCGTTCAGTCCATGCTGGAGCTCTTCGGCGATTCTGGGACTTCATGGTTTCCTGTGTTGATGGGCTCTGCATGGTGACTGTGCAGGTGAGCTCGCCACGCTGGCCAAACAGGAAATAAGATTCAAAAGTTCGCGGGCCTTTTCCTGTCTACCTGGTCAGTTCGTCTGAGTTGAGAGCGCTGTCCAGAGCGGTCACAACTGAGCACTCTGGGATAGCTCATGGAGGCCAACACCGTCGAATTGCATCCACAGTACCCCAAATTCGACCAGGTAAGGCCGATTTCAGCGCTAATCCCCTCGTTGGGGGTGGAGTAAAGAAATCTATTTTAAGAGCCCTTTAAGTTGAAAAAAAGGGCTTCGTCGTGTGGACAGGTGCAGGCTTAAATCGAGGTAACACTGCTAAATTCGACCTAAACTCGTAGTGTAGACCAGGCTTAAGGATTGTATAAGTATATACGCATCCACAGTATGGGGTTGAACTGCATTAATTATACTGGTGTAGTGAAAGCAATCTAACTTTCATGTGTAGACAAGGCCCTAGAAATATTAGGAATGTGAAGTCTTGTTTTCTCTTTTTGTTGGAGTACTTCTTATAGATGACTCAGAAATGAGGATTGAGAGAATTCTCAGCCATTAATTTATGAGAAGTTGTTGAATCCTTAACAAGGAGAGCTTTTTTCACAAATGTTTTGTTGTAACACCTATTTAATTAAAAGAAAAGAGTTTTAAGAATATTTTCTCCTCAGATAATCAGATTTTATTTCCTAAGCATCTGTAATATCCAAATCCCAACAAGTACTCCAATAATTCTCCAGCTGTCCAAAGAATCTTCCAGGATAGACAAGAATTGAAATTTTAATGAAAAGCCAAAGGGGGAAAAAAGTACACAAAAAGAACACGAGCTCAGTGTTTTATATTACCTTTTGACTGTTATTTTACTTAAATAGAATAATATAAACAAAAAGCTTTAAACTGTAGAAACTATGTAATGTGGAGATTACCAGAAGTTATGGTAATGTGCTGCATTTATCAAAACAATAATATTAATAAATTTTCAACATAGCAAGTATTTCTGCAGAAATATTATGTTTTGTCTTTGGTCACTATTGATCCTAGTTATTACTTATAGCAATGTTATGGATATAGGGTTGAGTTCTGTAAACATAACTTCACTGGGACTATTCACATCAGCGAAGTTACTCATGTGCATAGTGTTTCCAGGATCAAGCTCAAAAACAGCAGTGACATTACATAGTAAATTTCACTTTATAATAGCAAGAAGTCTATAATATGTGAACAGATTTATGTAATCTAATCTCAAATCATAAAAAAGAATTGTAAACAGAAAAGAAGGAGTGCAAGGACAATTATTGGGACATGTACAGTTGTACATCCAAAAGTCATAAATTATTGCAACATATAACTCATTCTTAAAATTACTGGTTCTACTTATCAACAGGGAGGAGATTTTTCCAGTGCACTTAATTCACTGAAGGCCCATTCAGCATTTTGATAAATGCCAGGTTTGCACTATAAGCTTTTAGGTTCTTAATTTTAAGTTTGAATACACAGAGTAAGCAAACTCATACAAATCCAGGTTTCAAACAGATTAATACAAGGCAGAATATAAAAATCAAAAAGTAAAATACCATCAATCTAGTAGTAATGGTGTGGGTATAGCACAAGATGGTAAATTCATCCATCATCCTCACTTTAAATAGCCTTAATCACTGAGGAAATAAGTTTGGTGGAATGCATGAACAATTCTCACAGTATTAGACAGTAACAACAGTGTCAGTACTCTGTACCCTGTGACTGTAATTGAGTAAGAAGACTCAGTACCAACCCTTCTAGAGTTTTAACCTGGTTACAGAGACACTATTAGGAAATGACTAGTGATTACATGACACCTTTTTGCCATGTTGTAACCAGGTCAGGAGCCAACCATACTTGGTTATAGCTCTAGTGTAAATGTGATCAGAGTTATTCTCCATTAGTATAAGTTATCAGTTTAAATAGCCTTAAAACCAGTAGTTACAGATAGAAATGTGATGAAAAGAAACCTTCAAGGAATGTAGATGCTTGGGAAGTAAGCACACAACATTCATTAACATCAGTGGGAGCTGTGTGCCTAAAATCTATTAAATTCTGAAAATGTAAGGAGCAGTGATAGAATAATTCTTTCTGTGGCCCTTATTAAAGAAATCACAATAGTGCCAGGAGCGCCTGTTTAGGATTAAGTCCTTGCTGTGCTAGGCGCTGTACAAACTCAACAACAGACACAAATATTGTCCTCTAGGCTACTCTGTTAAAAGGCAAAAAGTAAAGAACTTGTCTCCATTCACAGCTGTAGTTCTGCCCAGAGGACTAGTTAATTAAGCAAATGGACAAAATTTTAAGTATAGATGAGAATGTGCTAGACACGGGACGTGATTCTAGAGCTGCTGCCTATGTGTGACTCCTATGGAAGTCAATAGGTGTTAAAATAGAACAGCAAAATCAGGAACTCAAAATCCAAGTGATCAGAGAGCCATTCAAGGACCATACTGAAACACAACTGAGCCAAACTGAAACAAAAACAAACATTTTATGAAAATCACCTGTGTATCTTTTCCTTTTGTCAACTGAAGGATGTTATTATTTATACTATATCAAAACTGGGCATACTGTTTTACAGTCTAGTAAAACACAATCGACCAAATGCAGTGGTACACACGCAGTTGGAGCATACTAGTAAACCTGGCTCACTGTCTCTGCTAAAATAGCTTAAAATAGAAGTTAAATCAAAAATTACAGCAATAAGTTGCCTTGATTATTAATGTATGCATCATCAGAATTACATAAGATATTTTTGGTTTGTAGGCATTGTGGAAGAAAAATGTTTTAAGAAGGTTGGCCGCAAAATAAGATGTTGCTCACATCATTTATGTAAATCTTCATAATATGTTTGTTCCTCTTCTTTCTTATATATCTTGATCAGCAGTGAAATAATTAAAAATGTTGACATTTAAATTATCATTACTGGGCATCTGAGGGTTTGTCTTCACAGCAATAGTTAGAGCTAGTTACACTTAAAATGTGTAGGTAATCCACCTCCCCAAGAGGCGGTAGCTAGGACAACGGGAGAATTCTAGACCTAGTGCTGTCTAAACTGGGGGTTAGGTTGATTTTAACTGCATCAATCTGGGATGTGGATTTTTCACACCCCTAAGTGATGTAGTTATGATGACCTAATTTCCTAGTGTTGACCAGATTTTAGCTTGAGTTAGGGCACTGGTTCTTAACCAGAGGTACATGTATCCCTGGGGGTACACAGAGGTCTTCCAGGGGGTACATCAACTCCTCTAGATATTTGCCTAGTTTTACTATAGGCTACATAAAAAGCACTAGCAAAGTCAGTACAAACTAAAGTATCATGTAGGCAATGACTTGTTTATACTGCTATAGATACTATAGACTGAAATATAAGTACAATATTTATAATCCAGTTGATTTATTTTATAATTATATGGTAAAAATGAGAAAGTAAGCAATTTTTCAGAAATAGTGTGCTGTGACACTTTTGTATTTTTATGGCTGATTTTGTAAGCAAGTAGTTTCTAAGTGAGGTGAAACTTGGGGATACTCAAGACAAACCAGACTCCTGAAAGGGGTATAGTAGTCTGGAAAGGTTGAGAGCTACTGAGTTAGGGAAAAGCAACATTTTAAAAGCTACAGCAGTGCAGTTGCACTACTGCAGCATGTCAGTGTAGACCAGGGATGGGGAACCATTTTTCTATCAAGGGCCATTGATCCACAGAAAAAAATCAATCATGGGCCACACACAGCCCCACGGGGGGAAGCAGAGGCTTGGGGCTTCCACCCACAGTGGCGTGAGACAGCACTCGTGGCTCAAGCCCCGTGAGGGGGCACGGAGCCTCAGGGCTTCCCCTAGGCTCCCGGGTGGGGTTGGGGTGCAGGAGGGGGTGAAAGTTCTGGCTGGGGGTGCAGGCTCTGGGGTGGGGCTGGGGATGAGGAGTTTGGGGTGCGGGGGGGCCTCCGGGCTAGGGCCAAGGGGTTTGGAGTGTGGGAGGGGGTTCCGACCTGGGGCAGGGGGTTGGGGTGCTGGCTTTGGGAGGGAGTTAGGGTACTGGAGAGGGTTCCGACCTGGGGCAGGGGGTTGGGGTGCAGGTGCGAGCTCTGGGAAGGAGTTAGGGTGCAGGAAGGAAGTTTGGGTGTGGGAGGGGGCTCAGGGCTGGGGGTTGAGGTGCAGGTGAGGGTGTGGGGTCTCGGAGGGAGTTTGGATACGGCAGGGGGTTCTAATCTGGGGTAGGGGGTTTGGAGTGCGGGCTCCAGCCAGGTGGCGCTTACCTGAGGCAGCTCCCAGTCAGCGGCGCTGTGGGGCTAAGGCAGGCTCCCTGCCTGCCCTAGCCCCGCGCTGATCCCGGAAACAGCCGGCATGTCCGCCTCCTAGGTGAAGGGGCGGCCAGGGGAGTCTGCGCAGCGTGTGCTGGCCAGGCCCACAGGCGCCGCCCCCGCAGTTCCCATTGACTGCAGTTCCCAGCCAATGGGAGCTGCGGAGCCAGCACTGGGGCAGCACGCGGAGCTTCCCTGATCACCCCTCCGCTCGGGAGCTGTGTGGGTGGGGGGCACTGAGGCTCGGGGCTTCTGGCCCGCAGTGTGGAGACTTGCCGTGGGCTGGATTAAATTAAGTAGCGGGCCAGATGTGGCCCATGGGCCAGAGGTTCCCCACCTCTGACACTACCCAACACCAACAGGAAGGATTCTTCCATCAGCGTAGGTAATCCACCTCCCCGAGAGGCAGTAGCTAAAACGATGGAAGAATTCTTCTGATCACCTAGTACTGTGTACTGTGTACACCAGGGTGAGATCGGTATAGCTACACCTCTCAGGGCTATGCAGTTGGATTTTTCACCTGAGAGACATAGCTATACTGATGGAAATTCTTAGGCCTTGTCTACACTGGCAAGTTTCTGCGCAGTAAAGCAGCTCTCTGCAGTGTAACTGCCAATGTGTATACACTCCCAAGCCACTTAGCGTGCAGAAACTGTGCAGTTGCAGCACTATAAAAAAAACACCCTGAGAACAGGCATACAGCTTTCTGCACTGGGGCTACAGCGCCCTGGTGCCAGTGTAGAAACCCTGGTCAATTACAGCGCTGAAATTGGCCTCTGGGAGGTGTCCCACAATTCCTGTTCTCGCCTCTCTGGTCGTCAGTTTGAACTCTACTGCCCTGCCCTCAGGTGACCAATTGTGAGCTCCACCCCTTAAATTCTTTGGGAATTTTGAAAGTCCCTTTCCTGTTTGCTTGATGACACGTGCAGTGGTCTCAGCACTTCTTTCCAGCTGACCATGCCTGCTCTATGCACACGGCAATCCCCCACTTGGAGCAATGCCGAGCTGCTGGACCTCATCAGCATTTGGGAAGAGGAGGCTGTCCAGTCCCAGCTGCGCTCCAGCCATAGGAATTATACCTACGGGCAGCTTTCACAATGCATGACAGAAAGGGGCCATGACCAGGACACACTGCAGTGCAGGGTCAAAGTGAAGGAGCTGCAGAATGCCTACCACAAGGCATGGGAAGCAAACCACCGCTTCGGTGCTGCGCCCACAAGCTGCTGGTTCTACAAAGAGCTGGACGCGATACTCGGTGGCAACCCCACCTCCACTCTGAAGGCCACTGTGGATACTTCGGTGGCTT